AAAAGCATGTTGTCGATCTATATTTATCGGCGTGGGGAGACGTCTGCCGTGTACTGCTGAGCCGAGAAGGCTGCTTACAAAACAGTGGATGCACTGGTAGCCTAAGTTCAAAGAACGTTTTTGGCACAGACGCCAAGTCTGGGAGGACCCGTATGTAGCTGGCGGTGAGCGGGGGGTGCTCGAGTTTTCCTGCTGATTGCTTGGGTGGGGCGGGCAATGCCAGGCCTGACTTTCGGAATCAGCCAGAACAGTGACACTTGGTCAAAGGAGAGCAAAGGTGAGACGAATCGCTGGGAGAAGAGAAAGAGGGAGCTGGTCGGGGAGCAGAGCAGAAAACAGGGCGGGTGGGGGGTGGGGGGAGGGACACGGACTGCAGGGAGCAGCCCTGGGGGGAGGAGGGGGCAGGGAACAACGGGCGGGCCCCAAGGCCCAGCTGGAGGTGTCAGCGGGCAGGGAGTGGGGAGCAAAGTAGAAGAGGGGTGCCCCCCAGTCTCCTACCCATTGGCCCCATCTGTCTGGGCAAAAGCTACCGGCTCACCCCGCAGAGCCCCTCCCGGAGCCAGCCCCCCAGTAGCAGCACCGTCTGTCCCAGGGGGGCCCCCTCATGAGCTTCCTCCTTCCCCCAGACTCCAGTACCTCAGGATGTGTTTTTTTTTTGTTTTGTTTTTTTTACAAATTAAAACTGTATCTCCCCACCCCCGCAGGTGGGTTTGTAATTTTCTGCGCCAGGATCACTCTGGGGGAGAGAAACCCCTCTGGGAAGAGTCTTTAATAACTTCTGCTGCCCAAGGAATCGGCTGCAGGCCCCTGAAGGCTTGAGGGGAGGGTACGTGCCTGCGTGCCTGGGGAGCTTCGGGGGTGGGGGGTGTCGGAGAACAAGCTACACACAGCTGAGCCTCGTCCCAAGGCAATTCCCTCAGGCCCAGAGCTCCAGGGCCTCAGCCCCTGCTAACCAGGCTGGCGCAGGCAGCCCCCGGGGGATCTCTCCAGCCTCCTGTCTCGGGTACAGAACCAGGGGACCACCTCCAAAGCCACGTTACCCGTCTGGGCTCTGGGCCCTCGCAGGGCCTCAGTTTCCCCATGCATAAAACAACAGGGTTGGGCACAATGACATTCCCAGTCTCTCTTCACTCCAAGCCTCGGTGACATGCTTTCTTGGGCTCTCGCCGAGTCTGTTAATTTTTGCGATTGGTGGCATTTAAAGGCATTTAAATATGGGACGATTTCACATGGAAATCTGGATTCCCGGGATTACGGCATGCTCATTCCTGCAGGGCAACCATCGGAAAGAACTGGCAGGTGCTATCCCCCCGAGACGGGCAGAGCCCCTCCACACAGCATCCCTGCTGCCCTGACTTGTCCTGAGCGGGTGTGTGTGTGTGTGTGTGTGTGTGTGTGTGTGTGTGTGTGTTAGAGCATCCCCGCCCTAAAGGTCAGTTGCTCGTGCTCTGGGCTTCCCCCCTGTCCCGGGCAGTCACGCTGCCTTTCAAAGGCCTGTCACCGTGCACCTGTTTCTCTTCTCGCTAAATGGGTACAAACCACAGGCCCTGACAGGTCCACCCAGTTAGGTCCAAACCCCAGCTCTCATTCCTCAGGCCTTACTTGCGGCAAGTCTTTTAGCCTTGGAGCCCCATCTGTGAAGCGGGCGATATAAGAGGCTATGCCTGGTGCCGGGCTGTGCTAGGGCCTAAGACAGTGCTCAGACAGTCCTGAGCACCGTGCTCAGTGCCAAGTGAACCCTCCGTCTCTTCGTGTGTGTCACTGTGCACAGCCCTAGCTCAGGGCGAGGCCGCAGCAGCTACGCGGTCGATGCTGTTAAGTGGAAGGAGCAGTGGAGAGTGGAGACCTGACAGGCAGAACGGATGTAGTTGCAGAATAGGTGTTGCAGGAGGCTCGGACCCGTGGGCATGGGAGGAAAGGCCTCATCCCCAAAGTAAGGGCAGGATGTGGTGTGAGAGTCGCTCAAATTCGGCCACCAGGGTCTTCGGACGTTACGTTGGCGCCACCCTCTGGACGATATGTGCCTCACAGCCATCCCTCCACTCACCGGCAGGGAGGACTCCGGCGGGTGTCCCGCTGTGGGCCGCCCAGGATGTCTGTGAATGCGGCCCAACACAAAATCCTAAGTTTACTTGAAATTGTGTGTTCATCAGTGTTCACTAGTGTTTGTGTATTTCATGTGTGGCCCAAGACAAGCCTGCTTCCTCCAGTGTGGCCCAGAGACGCCCAAAGTTTGGGTCCTCTTCACTTACTTGCAGCGTGGGCAGGAGCCTTAGAACTCCTAGGGCCCCAGCCCTTCGCCACACAGCTGGGGCTTAAAGGGCCCAGAACCTGAGAGCAATTGTCCAAGGCCACAAGCTCCTGGATGAGCTCCACTTAGAAGGCAGAACCGGCCGCTGCGGGCACAAAGGACAGCCCCGCCCCTTTGTCTGGGGCCTGAAGATATACAGCAGACCCCCTGAGCCACTGAGGATCCCTTACAAGACCCCTAGAGAAAGCCTGAAACCATGGGGAGTACTGAACCCAACTTACACTAAGTTTTTTTCTACTTGGCACATGCATCCCTATGATGAAGTTTCATTTGTATGGTAGGCGCAGTAAGAGATTAACGGCACTAGTGACGAAATAGAGTGACTGTAGCCATCCACCGTGATCCAGGTTCTGGGAGTGTGGCCTGTCTTGCTCTGATAGCCGCCCTGATAACAGAGACAGGTACTGTCATCTGTTAGGTGACTCACAGTGTGACCACGCTGGACAAAGGGGTGATTCACATCCCCGGTGGCATGAAGCAGACAGCACAAGATTTCCTCCAGGTGCCTGGAACAGCGTGCAATTTAAAACTTATGAATTGTTTATTTCTGTAACTTTCTACTGAAAATTTCCAGACAGCCTGTAACTCCAGATAACTGAAAGCAAAACCACAGATAAGGGGGGGCTGCTGTACAAACGCATACTTTCTTTCTTTTTAAAGATTTTATTTATTTATTTTTAGACAGAAGGGAAGAGAGGGAGAAAGAGAAGGAGAGAAACATCAATGTGTGGTTGCCTCTTGCGTGTCCCCTACTGGGGACCTGGCCTACAACCCAGGCATGTACCCTGACTGGGAATCGAACCAGCAACCCTTTGTTTCACAGGCGGGCACTCAATCCACTGAGTCACACCAGCCGGGGCCAAAAGTGTACTTTAGTATGCTTGAGCTCTGCTGGCTCTTAGGGGGATTTCTCCCAGGAGCAGACTCTGAGACAAGGAAGGAATGCAGGCAGTTTATTCAGGAGTTGAACTTGGGAAGCACCACTGGAGGGTGGGGGGAGTTGAACTTGGGAAGCACCACTGGAGGGTGCGGGGAGTGAGCTAGGGAAGGGAAGGGGGCCAATGCAGAGGGCCCGCTGGGGCTGACCGCTCTCGGGAACCCAGGAGACGGTACAGACTGGTCTTCAGATTTGTCCCTCCCACAGGCAAGGAGGCTGGGCCGCTTACCCTCCGACTTTCAGTCCCAGCTGGTTGAGAGTGTTCCAGGTGATTAACTCCCTCAGGTATAGCTTACCTGCCCCACACCTGGACCAAGCATGTTTTCAAGACCAGGGAGACCAGAGGAAAGTGATCCCGAGTGCTCGCAATAGGAAACCAACTGTTATCTAGAAATCTAATTGTCAAGGGTGATAGTTCTCAGAGTGCGGTCCCTGCACCAGCAGCAGCATCCCCTGGGAAACTAGTTAGAAATGCACATTCTTGAGCACTATCCCAGCCCCATGTGGTCAGAAACACTGGCCGTGGGACCCAGCAATCTGTCTTTCTGCTGGTTCTGATCCATGCTCAAGATGGAGAGCCCCTGACCCGAGGGAAGACCAAGGAGGCACCCACAGCAGCTGCCACGGGCACTGTCTCCATTCTCCAGATGAGGAAATGGAGCCGATAAAAGATGAAAAGTGACCCACAGACGATAGGTAGCAGAGGGGTGGGTCTTTGGTCCCTTGCCACCGTACTGCCATGCGCAGAGGTGAGTAACGCCAGCACTTGGGCTCTTGGTAGGGGATGAGGGTGAGGTCCTCCGGTGCCCCTCCCCTCCCCTCCCCACCCCACCTCACCACCACTTTGCTCCACTTTCTAAACTAAATATCTCCACCTGGTGCCTCCAAATGGTTCTCGGAGCTCTCCCGGGAAGCCTGCCAAGCCAGGTGCACCTCTCTCGACTCCCAACTGTCCTCACAGCCTCCACTGGGGACAAGCCCTCTCTGCCCTCCCCCCTCCAGTCGAGGGGACACATCGGGGAAGCCCAAAGCAGCTTCTCGTGGGGAGTGAGGGGAGGGGCTGAGATCCCTGGGTTAAACCAGCCTGGCTTCATCCACGCGAGGAATCCGAATCTTCATGCCGGGTCTTCGCATGCCTCTTCCTTCTCCCCTTGTCCTAAAACCTTCCTCCCCTCCCCTCCCTTCCCCTCTGCTCCTACTCCATCTGCTGCTCCTCCTGGCTAGGCGCCCCCTCAGTTGGCACAGCAAGAAAGGAGAACAGGATGGTTATTTTTATCCTAAGATACTGCTGGGGGGAAGGGGGTGCCATCTGACCGAGAAGCAGCAGCTCCCGGAGCAGTTGGGAGGTCAGGAGGAGGTGGGAGGCCCCAGAACTTCTCGGGAAGGAGCTACAGATTTGGGTTCCAGGGACCAGGAGGTCTAGGAGAAGCAGTGCAGGACCAGGAGCGGGGAGCCCTGAGTGGCACTGCGACGATGAACTGCTGTGTGACCACAGGCAGGTCTCCGCACCTCTCTGGGCCTGTTGCCACTTCTGTTAAAGAGGGAGGGGTGCGGGCCCCGCCTGCCCCCGAGGCTGTTTTGGTGAACATGAATGAAATGCAGAGAACCCTTTGCAAACACGGTGCCACGTGTGAGCGCACACAGAGGGTGACAGCCGGGGGCACTCTTATTTACCCTCTGAAAGCGCCCTACTTCTGCGAACTGACAGCAAAGCAAGCAGCTCGTGTCACCCAGCATGTGCACCCCCGCTTCTCTTTGTACGTGCCGGATGACTTTTTAATTACATAAGCAGTTATGTGAATCCACTCTCCTTTCGGGGTGGAAGAAATGAGGCCTTATGGGAAAGTCTTCTTTCGCCAGCCCTCCCCCAGAGCCTCTGCCCCATCCAGCTGTGCACCTTCCGTGTATCCTTGCAGAACCCAGGCTATACTTACACACGTGCGTGCATGTTTCTACACACACCCGTAGGTGATGGCAGATCATATCATCTGTGGCTATGTGCTTTAAAGAAAATTTTTTGTGCCCATCATTCTGCAGCTTGCTTTTTGTTTCCCCCCATGACAGTGTTTTTGAGATCCTGTCGCATAAATACATTACAGTTTTATTTAACCAGTCCCCTGTCGATGGACAGCTAAGTGGCTTCCGTTGGTTCGCTGTCACAACCAGCACTGTAATGACATGCATGTAGATGTCCCTCGGGCTCAGAGAAACCACCACTGGCACTGGCCTGCTGGCTTGGAGGGTTGGATGATATCACTATTTGGCTGCCCCCCTACCCCCCGAAAAAGTTTTGTCTCCGTCTTTAAAAGCAAGCTGGGAGATGGAATAGGCTCCAGGCTGGAGTGGGAGGCTCCTCTCCCGAGGTGAGTGTTTCTGAGCCACAGCGGTGCAGGCGGAGGAGGCTGTGCCGACTGCCGGCCTCGGGCCCTCACGCCGTCTCGTCTGCGGCTCCAGGCTCTGCGGCCACGTGCGTGTTCGTCCAGGCTGCCGTGCTCCTGCGCACACACAGCCTCACAGTCTCTCCTGCACCGAGATGCGGCTCTCTTTGCCATCCTCCTGCGTGACCGGCTGGCACCCATGCAAGGTCTCCTGCACCGGGTGGTTGGGGAGGGGGCCAGGAAATTCATCCATCTCCACGGGATCTTGCCCTCTGCCCTTAGGATGGAAGACCTGGTGAGTCACAAGATGAGGTTACCCTCAGTAACACTTCTAAGGAGCCCTTCCCTCCAAGGGGTCCTTCCCAAGCCCCTTCCCCTTTCCCACATCAGGGCTGATTCCATGGGCGCCTCCTGCCCCCTGCTGGCCACACTGAGGGTGTCAAGAAGCTTCCAGTGGGTTCAAGGAGCTGCCCCTACAGTCTGGCCCAGGGCTCCTGTACCAAGACCCCAAAGTGGTACCCCACACACTGAATGCTGGGAAAGAACAGCAAATGACACCATTAACATGGACAGTGGCACCTGGACAGCTCTGTGGAGAGGTGAGCTCTGAGGGTGCTAAAGGTCGGCACGGAGGGGGTTGGCGGGAGGAGCCCTGGAGCACGGGGTGGGGGGGGGGGGAACGTGGCCAGTTCTGTGGCCGCCACACTGACCACAGGGCAGGCCCCGAATCAGTGTTACTGCCATACAGGAAACAATGAGTCTGTCTTCTGTCCAGTTTGCCAAAACTCAGAGGCGGTTTCCAGGGGTGACCTACCTTGGGGTTTGCCTCCTCAGCCACCCTTTCTAGAGAGAAAAAGAAAAGCGATGGGGCGTCAGGGAGACTAGATCAGGAGACAGGCAGCCAGGTCCACTCTACCTTCTCCTCCTCCCTGCCCGCCTCCCTCACCGCCTCCCACCTGGGGACTCACTGATGCAGGCGCACACCAGCAGGACGGTGAGCAGGACCGCCATGAGGACGGGGACCACCAGCAGGGCTCTCATCCGGTCCTGGGAATCTGAAGAAATCTCGGCTTCAGCGACGGCTCGCACCCCCGCTGCCCAAAGCCGCTGCACCTTAACCAGACTCTAAAATCCTTCCGCGTCTGAGCGCATCGACGTCAGACGTTTCAAACAGGGGGCCCTGGTACAATGTGGCCGGCAGATGTCTTTAGTGTAGCCAGCACGCTCTTTTAAATCTTTCAACATTCTCATTTGGGGAGATTGCCTATTGGAAATGTAGATGTCTGATTTCTGAGAAATGTGCAAGATGCAGCCCCAGTGGGCCCGCAGCCCTGGACTTCACAGGCCGGAACTCCGCACCGCTCACCACGCTCCCCAGCCCTCCCCGCCCCCCTCTGCCCGGTCCTGAGGTCCAGCATCATTTACATCTGCACTGCCGCCTTTGTTATAGGAGAATGGAGGGGACATTCACGTATGTCTTGTACCCAAGTCTCCACTCCAAAGGGGAAGACAAAAGAAAGACCGAGAGACAAGGCAGGGGGCTGGGGTAAGGCATACACCCGGGACAAAACTTAAGGGGGCGCCAAAAAAACTCAGTAATCAAGATAAGTCACACTGGAATGTGATGCTCGGAACAATGAAATCATCCCATTACGGCCTGCAGGCTGGCTGCATGTTTTTCAAATAAAGTGTCCTTGGACCCAGGGCCTGGGTCAGGCTGAGGCGGGTTAGGCGGGGCGGGGCGAATGCGGGGCTGGATCACGTCTTGAGTTAAAATGTTGTGTTCGTGACGGGTTATTTTTGCATCCACTTGGATTCTTTTTAAAATGTTGCCTCGAGATGTTATCTCGATTCTGCTTTTTCCTGGCACCCCTTTAAACAGGTGCCCGAGGCAAGGGCCTGGCTCCAGCCCCAGCCGTGCCAAAAGGAAAACGAATGTTAAGAAAAAGCAAAGAGAGCGTGTTTTTCTTACCTGACCTTTTTTTGCTCATTAACTCGACCTGCCTAGGCCCTGTCGTTACTCGAGTCTGTGACCTGTGCCCGTAGCAGCCCAGCCTCCTCGCTGGGACATCAGAGCTGAGGCCCCGAAAGGACACCGTGCCATCCCATGCTGGGCCTTGAGGGGCAGGCGGGCAGAAGAGCTTTGCCGGAGCACCTTCAAAGTGCAGGAGCCCGTGCCGCGTGCTTGCACCAGCCTCCTAAGGGAGGTGCTGTGGTCACCCACTGTACAGACGAAGAAGCTGAGGCTGCAGAGGGGAGATGGTTTGCCCAGGCCACGCCCGTAAGTGGCAGAGCTGAGACGCCACAACTCCAAACTGCCTCCTCCTCTCGCTGCCCCTCCCACCCACTGTGTCTGTGTGCCTCAGTCTCCCCCTTCAGTTCCCTCCCTTCCCAGCCTGTTGCCGGGACTCATTCCCCCGGACTCACCGCAGAGGACATTGGTCTTGTTAGTCCCTGCGCGCCGCACCACCAGGCCTTGCATCTCACAGCTGTGTTCACACGCATGTGCACAGAGAGAGAGAGAGAGAGAGAGAGAGAGACATTAAGCTTCCCCGGCCATAAGATTTCCAGCCCCAGAGGGAGAGACCATCAGCCACCACCAAGCCCAGGTTCACTGAGCACGTATTATATGCACCCTCCCGTGCTCGTTATGATGCCAGCTCTGTGCTCCTGGAACTCGTGAGTGCAGGGAAAAGCTTATGCACATCTTGAAGGGGTGACAATAGGAGAGTCTCTAATGAGCGCCAAGCGTTGTGATATAGGCTCAGGAGACTGGGAATTGCTCCGAGAAGAGAGGAAATCCACAATAGCGGGAATGGAGGAGTGATCCGTCCGGTTTGAGGCAGGGCTTCTCAACCTCGGCACCACTGACGCTCTGGGCCACATGACTCGCTGTTGTGGGGACTGTCCTGTGCACTGTGGGATGTCTAGCAGCAGCCCTGGCCTCCGCCCACTAGGTATCAGTGGCATCCCCCTTCCCGGTGTGGTCTCCAGACATTGTCATATGTCCCCTGGGGGGCAAAATTTCTCAGTTGAGAACCTCTGGCTTAAGGGACATCCAGAAAGACCTCCCTGGGGAAGCTGGGTCCGAGTGGGCCCTGAAGAATGTAAACTTCAGAGCAGGGGCCCATGCCTGCGAAGCAGGACAGTGTGATACAGAGATTGGGGGGTGACGTGCCGGGTGGCATCGGGGAACCATGGAAAGTTGGGTTTTTAGAACCAGATCACTGATAGTCAGCCACGAAGCTTTTGACTGGATTCAGCTGGTGAGTCGCACCCGTATCCAGTCAGATGTCTAAATAGTGCGAGGACTCCGTTGGCCAAAGAGCTCACAGGAGGATAAATTACAGGAAAGCGGCCAGCCAGAGGCCTTTGCAAGAGTCCAGATGTGAGAAGACCCAGCCCAACGCGGTCCCAGGAGGACTGGCGAGGAACGGTCAGAGAAGGACACCACAGGGAAAAACATCTGAAATGGGGGAAAGAGAGAGAAGCTTCCAAGAGAACACACACGTGAGCAGAGTCACACACGAGAAGAGTGCTTACAAGCTCACAAAACATGGCCACACGCCTTCCCCTCAAGCCTCATGAGACAAGGGTCATTCCGTTTTCCAGACGAGGCTCAGAGGGAGGAGGGCCCCACGCCTGCACGGGGCCATACGCTTTCTGGGCCACAGTGCGGTCGGAACCCAGTGCTCTGATCCTGCTGCCCCAGCCTGCCGCCAGGCAGCAGTCCACATTTATCAGTAACAATTTATTGAGCACCTACTATGTTCCGGACACTGTTCTAGGCATGAGGGCTGCATCAGTGGAAGGGGAAATAAAAACAAGTCTTTAAATTTAAGGAATTTGTGGTAAACAACAAAGGATATATGACATGCTGTGACTTGTGTAGACAATGGGTGTTTGCACGTGCACATGTGTGTGTGTGTGTGTGTGTGTCTCCGGAAAAGCATACAAGGAATGGCGTGTCTGCCTCCGGGGAGAAGTGGGTGGCGGAGGGACGGGGGTGGAGAGGAGATGAATTACTGTAGATCCTTGTGTGCCTGCTGTCTCGTGTGCTTGTCTTACCCGCTTTTTAGAGCTAAATGTGAACAGTCAATGGGGCGTGCGTTAAAGGGCATCCCCGGCGAAGAGTCTGATGGAAGAGACGGGTGGGGTGCTGAGGGGGTTGCCGAGGAGCAGGGCGTGGGGAGGGGTCAGGAAACGGAGCCAGAAGGTCGGAGCCACGCAAAAAGAGCGTGGGTTTCGTCCCGAAGGCCCGGAGAGCCGTGAAGGATGTTCAGCAGGGAGGGCTGCGACCCAAAATGAACTGCAGACAACTTGCTTTGGCACGCACCCGGAGACCCGGCTGACGGGCAAAGACTAGAGGCGGGGACCTCAGTGAGGAGGCTGAGGCATCGCCCAGATCGAGGTGCGGAGGCCAGAGCTGAAGTGGCAACACTGAGACGGTGGGAAGGAGGAGTCCCCAGACATCTAGAAGGCACGGCGGACAGGACCCGGTGACTGATTTGGGGGTGGAGGTGAGGTGGGGGACCAGAGGACAAGTGCCCAGAGGCACAGCGGGCGAGAGGAGCAGGAAGGTGAGCCCATCTGGTGCCTGTGGGTCGCCTGCATGGAAGTGTCCCCCTCGGTGACAGTCCAGTCCGGGACCCAGGAGACGAATCTAGACAAGCGATGTTGGTTGAGAATCCTCTGGGAGGGATGGTAGCTTGGAGCCAGGGATAGGGGTGAGGCGGTCCAGGGGAGGCAGCAAAGGGGTTGAGCGTACAGCAGAACAAAGACCTAGGAGAAACAGTTATGGAGGAGACGGAGGAGCACGGGAGGGTAGAAGGAAAGCAGGAGAGGTGTCACAACGTGCCCAAGACACGAGGGTTTCAGGAAAGACAGAGAGATCGACGGTGTCCATTACCACCGAGAGAGAGCGGACAAGAAAATGCCGAGAAGTGCCCGTCTGGCTGGCTGTCCCCGAAGTCAGATGTTTTACACACGCGTGAGTGTGTGTGGACATGGGGAGCTGGGGCTGGGGGGCGGGGGGCCGGGGATACAATGGAAGCGGACCCCATCGCCCTCTGGGGGCAGGCAACACAAGGGATGAGTTCTCCTACCTTGCCCAAGGATGACATTTCTCAAAAGCAGATGACACATTGGAGAAGAAACCGACTGGGCAGGGTTCGCAGACGGTATCAGAAACTTGTGTGGCTGGGGGCGAGAAGGAAGCAGTAATCATCACCCTGGACCAGCGGTTGGGCTCTCCAGAGAACCCACGGACAGGCAGGTCGGGAAGATCTTCCTGCTGTAAGATCCCCCTCCTTCCCCTAGCGCGCAGCCTGCCCCCACTGCCCCAGCCCCTGGGAAGGGTTCTCCCACGGCCCTTGACCCTCCCGAGGCAGATACCACGGCAGGAGGCAGAATGAGAAAGGTTCGTTTCCTGCTCCCTCTGGGGGACACACGGATGTATGTAGGCTGGAGTCCGCATCCCCTCCACAGCTGGGGCTGGAGGGAATTACCTCTCAAGGGCGCCCGTGGCCCAACCCCTTGCCTTTGGCCCTCGGCTCCTCTCTCATAGGCCTCTACAGCTGGTTCCCAGACAGGCCACCTACCGATCTGCTTGACCCCAAAGCCAGGGGGGCAGGAGCTGTGCGGGGCGCAGCTGTCGCAGTTGTCATTGACACAGTGCTGGCCTTCATTACACGTGCAAATCCTGTCGGTTTTCCCGGTGCCCTCCGTCTGGGTCCGGAGTCCTAAGTCTGTGCAGAGATGGGCAGGAAGGATGGGAACCCCTTGCTGGCCACACTCAGGGCCCCCCTCCTCACATTTCCTGCTCTGCTTTTTGCTTAGACCCTCTTCCAAGCAGGGATGGCTATCAACTTACGGAACAACGTAAGTACAACCTAGACGCCAGCCAATCAAAACAGACCCTAGCTATTAAAAAAACAAAACAAAACAGAATGGCTGCACCCTCAAGAATATCAGCCTAGCTCCCGAGCTCCCCTGCCCCAGCAGCCCACGCACTGGGGTCACAGTATCTGTGCGGATGACAGTATCTCTCGTTGTTCGAGGTCTCCAGGAATTCGCCTGGTCCGCAAGGGTGGCACGTCGTTTCTGTGGTGTCCGTGCAGTCCTGGACCACTTTCTCTCCTGGAAAAAGCATCAGGAAATGAGGCTGCTCCAGCCAACCCGGTGAGTCAGACCAGCGCCAGAAACTGATCAGGCGGGGCTTTAGGGCAGAGGATTCAAAATTGACAGTCTCAGACCCTTCCGGGCTTCACGGTCAAGTACGGGGCGGGGGCACAGGGCAGATATGGGAACCCTAGTCCTGGGCAGGCAGAGAGGGGACCCAGAACATTCTGACAGCAGGGCATGGGTGGGAAATCCCAGGGGTCCTTTAAAACTGGAGTTTACAGATGACACGTGGCATGCATCTGCCAGCAAAGCAGGAGGGGTCCCACCGTGGGGCCAGAGGGTCGGCATCTCACCTGGCTGGCACATTTTACAGCACTGACTGTTTACTAGGTATTGGTTTTCTCCGCATACATTGAGTGGTTCTGAGTGGACCTAAAAACAGAATTGGGCAATTTGAAGGGATCTTGAAATCTCTGCTGCAGCCTCCTTGGCGGGAAGGTAAAAATCGGCCGGGACGGGGGTTAGCATGGGAGTGGAAGACTAAAGCAGAAAAAAAACACAGCCTGCCTATTACTGGGTGTGTTTCTTTTTAACTCAGCTGCCAGCTGATGTGATTGGAAAAGCACCCAGAGAATCATTCTGGTACTTTAGAAAGCGGCTGTCCTGGAACCCCCTACCAGTCTCTGAACGACACTGGTCTTCCTTGCGGCTGGACTCGTGAGTCTTTCCTCTTCACAAAGATTCAAAAGCACACGAGGACCCCAGTCCCCTCCCCTCACCCCGGCGTCCAGAGGCTGGCTGACTCAGCTGGTCCCAGTCCCGGTGGGGGCTATACTTAGCACCTGGTCTCTTCCTTCTCCTCTTCCGCTCCCCAGCCCTTCCCTGCTCCAAGCCTCAACCTGTTTTCTCCCTCCAGCCCCTCCCTCAGGAGACACCAGGAAACTGGTGAAGCGAGGAAGCTCAAACCAACGCTTTCACTTTACAAATGGTGGGACTCAGGGCAGGGGAGGCCGGGGCACTTGACCGGGGTTTCACCGTGAGAGAAGCCAAGTGAGAATTCAGGTCTCAACATTCTCCCCCTCTCCATCAACTTGGGTCGCACCCGCAGTTTTTACTACATCCAGGTACCACCCCTGCTCCTCATTACTTCTCATGAAGTTAAATCCATTTCTTTTCCATGTAAATGTAACCCTTGTATCATGGCCATGAGAGGAGAGCCAGTCTCACTTCTCATAAATAAAAGGTAACCCTAAAAATAAACTCAGCAGAAATAAAACAGTGTTATGAAACCCCAACTGGTTGCTTTGCTCGACAATAGCCCTCCATCCCGGGCCTGCTCTTAATTTTTGTTGTGAAAGGAGAAGTAGTAAGCGCTTGAGAGGTATAAAATATGCTCTAGCTCCAGAGACTTCTTCCTTGAATAAAAACCAAGATTTTAAACAGAACTGTAACGTGAATCTCCGTTGGTTAGCTCTGTATGCGTGTGCCCCCCACAATCATCCCACATTTGGGGAACAGCCAGTGAAAGGAGCACAGGTTTGAGAGACAAACAGCTTAAGGCTCCAATCTTGACTTTGTAACTCTTACTAGTTATGTTGTTTCTCTTAGTTTCAGTTTCCTCATCTCTCAGAGGGGAGTGATAATACCTGCCCCACAGGGTCAGGGTGTGAAGATGAGAAAGAATGTACATCTGTGGCCTGGCACGGTGTCTAGAACATCAAATGGCAGTTTTAATGTCGAGACGTGCACCAGTACCTGCTTGGATGCCCTGCACCTGATTAACTAGCTCATCGGTGGCCCTCACTCAGCCATGGCCCACAGAACGCATCTTACCCCAAATGGGGAAGGAAGTGGAAAGGGCTGCTGCCCCATCATCACATCGCGGCATTCATCCTGTGACTGTCCTTCCTGCAGCCCCGAAGACCACCCTGCCACACTTCCGGAGCAGCGAAAGCCCTTTCGGCCATCTTCAAACACAGGGGAAATGTAGCTGCTCCTCTGAAGGTTTGTCGCTCCCCAGTTCCCACGCCATGGCTCCGGTCCTTCTGAGACAAAGGAGTTCAACGCCGAGGCTCGGAGACTCTCACCATCCGAGAGGCAGGCTCAGGAGCCAGGCAGATGTACATTCATACCCAGGTTCCACCTAGCTATGAGAATTTTAGGCAAGACATTGCCTCTCTCTGGGACTCAGTTTGCTTATCTGTATAATGGGGAGTTAAAGGACATCAGACGGAGAATCCCTGGAAAGTGTTCTCCTCAGGGCCTGAAAAACAGGAAGCTCTCAATCAAGAGCTTCTGCTGTTGTTGCCACAGCCCAGTCCTACCTGGAGCCCAAAATGTGAGCATGCTCTTGAAAAGCCCAAATCCCTAGCTCTTCCTTCACCCACTCCTACAAGAATGCTCCTCTTTCCGGCTCCACCCCCGTCCTGCCTCCCTTCTCCCTAAGAGTCACTGCTTAGAGTGAAACTGAAAGTTCTGGGATTCAAGTAGCTTCCCCACAGACTGGTTCTCTTCCCTCGCTATCTACTCCATAGGTGACTCCGGCTCAGACTTCACACCAGAAACCACAGCCCTTGAAAGCAGGGGGTCACCAGATGGTTTGGAATGAGGTGGTAAGGTACTTGGGGGGGATTCCCAGCCTCCAGAATGAGGAACTACAAAAATACATTTAAACAAAAAGTGAGACAAGTGTGGGCTTCTGAAAATCCCGGAGACATGCGTGACTGGGCATCTCTGAGCCTTCTGATGATGCCGGGAGAAACCCTTTCTTGGGTCCCACGAACTATTCATCTGGCCCAGAGGCCCCCCACGGCGTCTTAAATTCAGGACGCAGAGCCATGCAGCCTCGAGTACTCCTGCTAGGTTGCACACGCCTTATTCCCACAAGATGCCCTGGAAGAAGGCAGCCCCTGCTAGCAAGGAGATAACACTCTCAGAGGCTGGCATCTGTCCACAGGGCTAAGGGACAGGAAACAAGCCAGACCCGCCGCTTCCCTTGTCCCGCCTCCTTTCCCACTTCTCCTCGGCGGGCCTCGGAGGCAAACCCAGGCGCCAGCCTTGTGGCCAGATGAAGCTTTGAGGCTCCCCGAACCCCAACCCGGTCCACGCTGTCCAGGCACTGTTCCCACGGTGTCCCCACTTCGCACCCTCTGTGGGCTACCTGGAACCCCAGCCTGGGAGGAGAGAGAGGCAGCCCACCTCCTTCAGCCGGGACCCCAGGGTGCCTTACCCAGCGTCTACCCACCGCTTCTGTCCCCAGCAAAACCAAGCTAGAAAGGTCCCTTTCCCCAAATACTGCTTCCCTTCCCACTCCCCTCTCTCAAATCCCAAGTTCCCCCGTCGGGTCGGAGCAGAAACTCAACTCACGGCGGTCAACAAGAAGCCCACGAGGAGACACTGCCGAGGGAGAACCATGGCGAGGGAAGAAGCGGGCGAAGGGGAGCTGCGCCGCGGACCGGGTCGCTAGTAACTCCCAGGCTCCAGCCCCCGGCCACGCCCATTAAAGGGGTGTGGTCTTCGGTGGCCAATCGCGGCCAGCGCCGCTGGGGTGGGCGGAGTTCCGGGCCACCAGCAGCCAGGGATTCCCCCGGGACGTTCCCAGGAGTCCTAATTCTCCAGCTGAGTTTAAGGACGCGCCGCGCCGGCAAAGAAGGGTAAGGTTCCCTGGACGAGCTTTTCCTCCGTAGCCTCTGGAACTACAAAGGCCAGTCTGAAGAGAGGAAGGAACCAGCCGGCTTCCCGGGGAAGGGGGTGGATGGCGAAGGAAGGGAAGAACGATCCCCACGGGTGCTGGGAAGACACCGCAGGGATGCCCACGGTTCTCCCCCGCCGCCTACGGGAATCCCAGCAGAACCGAAAGCGTCCCCATCGAAAGTGGAGAGGCCTGAGAAAGTTCCCCGCGTCCCAGAAAACGGGAAAGCCACAGCTGGGCTAGGGGGAAAAGGCCAATTTCCCAACTGAGTTTCTCTCTCTTTCAAAGGAAATTCCCTCCTGAGAGCACAGCGTCCCAGCCTCGCCTCCATCCATCCATGCACCCACGCATCCGTGCGCCACGCCCCCCGCCCCGCCAGATTCTATTCCATACCAGCTTCCACCCGTCACTACGCACATAGAGCAGACAGCCTTTTGCTCTAAGTGTTTATATCTTAGGGCCCCTTGCGAATCGTAGGAGACTCAGGCCCTCTCGAGAACTGCGGGAACGCACACACCCTTGTACCTGCCTTTCCCAGGTTCTGGCCCTCCAAGCCTTTCCCGAACCAGTGTTAGCGTTCTCTGCCCTGCAGCACATGGCCAACACCTGGGCCCCTGAGGTCCCGTCCAGGCTCTGCCTCTGATGGGCAGAAATCCCTTGGCTGCAATTTTCCCCCAATGAAACGTGAAGAATTTGAGCTACACCGTGGTTGGGTTGATTACCCTCCAAGCTCTGCATTTCTGCACTAAGCCAAAAGGCCAAGGTGTGCAGGGCTGGGGAGGGGGGTGGAAGAGGAGGGGGCTGCTCACCCCACCCTCCTGGCTTCTGATGCAAAGGGCCACCTCTGGAATCCATCCCCTCTTTTTCATCACCTCTGCTGCTACCCGAATTCAGAGGCTCATCGTCATTCGCTTGGGCTGTCCCGACATTCTCACTTATTCGGTAAGTATTATTGAGCCCCTACTATATGCTGGGCAACTGTTACATTCTCTCTCTCTTTCTCTCTCATTCATACTGCAGTTGCCTTTATAGATCTGATCGGGACACTCCACTGCTTAAAAACGGTCAAACCCCCTTTGGGCTCCCCCCATGCCCTCGGGATGGTTCCAACTCCTCCTTGAGGAGGGAGCCCTTCTTCCCTCAGCCCCAGCCTGTCTCCCCACTCGCTCCCTGCACGTCTTCCCATGCACACTGGCTTCAGCCTTGCTCGCCTCTCAATTTTCCAAACACACGATTGTTTTTTTCTTACTGTTTTTTTCTGACTGTATCTTGCTGTATTCTTCCTTCCCTTCTCCTTTCTGGAACCAATTTAAATGTTTACTTCCTCTTCAGTCTCCTCTTCACTCTCTGAGACACAAGCACGTACTCCACCCCACCTCCCCCCTTTTCCCTGTGTTCCCACAGCGTTAGCGTGCTGGGCTATAACTCTACCTGCCCGGCCACATTTGACTGTGAGCTCCTTGAACACAGGACTGCATCTGTCCCGGTCTTAGGCACAATTCTGTGGGTAGCGGAACACCAATATACAGTTGCTGAAGGAATGAGGGAGGGAGTGGGCTCAGTAACTTAATGATTCTCATCGCTGCCTCCACGAGGAAGGAAGTGAAGGCGGAAGCTGCAAAGGATTGGTCGTCGCCTCACGGACCTCGAGCTGGTAGTCAGATGCCAACAGCGGAGGGGCACCTGAAATCGGCGTCCAGAGGACTTCATGAAAGCCACCCAAACTGGCCCAGGGTGAAGAGAACGTTAAAGTAGCGTTTCCCTTTTTAAGCCACTTTGGAAAAACCAGCACAGTTTTCATTCCTTGGGGGAGGTGCGAGGCGGGGGCATCACTCTAATAACTTCAGCCGATGCTTACTCTTTATTTGCTTGATTTCAAAATTGGGCCCTTCATAAAACTGCCTTGGGAGGCAAGTACACAGAATTAAAACATTAATTATGTTATATAAAACATATCAGAGCGGCAATTAAAGCAGCTTAAATTAATGTGTGAAAGAATAAATAGTAGCCTTCGGGTTGCCCCATGCGGTGAAGACCAGACAGGATAAAGGGAAGATATTTTAGTATACGCGTATCTCGAGGAAATGCGTGCTGGCAGGAACCGGCCCAGTGAAGGCGAAGAATCTTCTCGGGCTGGGAAGAGTCTATTGGAGGAGGAAAGAGAGAAGATTCTCGGGGAGGGCGGCAGTATTGCATGGTCCCGTCAAAGAGAACTATGGAGGATTCCGTGACGGGAGTAGGGCAAAGGGCAGTAACAGAGTGGGGGCCCGGGATTTTGGAATCACAGAGAACATGGCCTTCATAGGGGCGTTGGCGGGTCATAGGGCCATGTGAATGGGTAAGAAGTATGCCTGAAGGTCAAGTCCATAGCACTGCCAGAACCTGGCAACCAAATAGTTGTAATATGCAACCCCCGCTATATTATTGCTCTCGGGTTTGAACAACTCCCCAGAGCCCTCACCCCTTAAGTTCATAGGGCCCAAGGTCATGGACCCCTGGCCTGCTGTCTAACTGTCCTTCCTGCCTTCATCTTGCTGCTCCAGACGGTGCTGTCCCCTCTGCCTGGAAAGCTCTTCTCCACTCTCCTTCTTTTGGACAAACTCCTTCTCGCCCTTCAGGGTTCAGCTCAGGTGCCCCTTCTGTGGACAGCCCTCTGCAACAGCCATCCTGGGATGTGCGTGCTTTCCTCCCCTGCTCTCTCGGAACCCCGTGGCTGCTCACCTACGCAAGACTCCAGCCCTACCGCACGACGTTTCAATTATTCTGTTTACTCGCAAAACCTCAGTACTCAGTGTACTGAGGCGAGGCAACTCGGTGGGGCATAATAATGAAGCTCCCTCCCCCTTCAGCCCTGCTGTGTTGAATCTCCCTTTCCCACCCCTTAATGACACCTTGGGCAGATTGCATTACTTTTGGATCACTTTCTGTTGTTAAACCTCCCTCCTTGAAAGCTTTATTCTCAAACTCCATTTCAATCTCATTTGATCTTCTCCCTTACTCCTCCAAGAGTTGACCTGAGCCAGGTCCCTGCCTGCTTGGATAAAAGAGGGGAGGGAGCATGCCCCCTTATTGATATCGAGAGGATGGAGTGGGAAGAGCCCTCTGCAAAAGTCCCCTCCCTCTTGGTCAGCCCTGCTCCCCCAGCCAACCCAGAGCAGCAGGTGTCCACATACGGTGTGTCAAGGGGCATGTGAATAAGTTTCTTGGGGACTTCCCCACCGCACAGGTCTCTGACAGGGGACATCCAGCTCAGGCATGAGCGCTCCTTTTTCTGCCCCATCACCTGGGCTCCTGCCACTGGAAAGACCCTCTCGCTCAGCAGCCAGACTGCTCGGTATGACACCAAAAGGCCTGGCTAACTACAGCAGGGTGCACTTGACCTAGAGAAACTCGCGCATCCTGGCCAGCAGCTCCATAGTGACCCCTCTCTCCACCTCTCTTCTCCCCTGCTCAGGCAGACATAGGGGGACATCAGCAAGTCCTCTCCCAAGTAGATGCACCCCCCACCCCCTGCTGGGGAACAGCACCCAGCATCCTTTCTCGCAGTCACCCTCACCCTTCAGTCTTCACGA